ACGGGGGCAGGAGGGGGCGAGGCCGACGGGGGCGACGACGGCGAGCCCTCCGGAGTCGAGCCGAAGCCGAGGACCGCGCCCGCGAGCCACAGCCCCAGAGGCATCTCCTGTGCGGGGTTGCGCGACGGTGTGGGTCGCGCGCGCGCCTCCAGGGAAAGAAGGCGGTCAAGGTGGTGGGGATGCCGAGCCGGGAGGGGAGGGTACGGTGGCGGCGACGGTGGAGGAGGAGAGCTGAGCCAGGAGGGTGCGACGGCGGCGACGGCGGAGGAGGAGAAGGAGGAGGTGGTGGAGGAGGAGGCAGCGGCGCACGCTCGGGCGGATTCGGTTGGGGGGAGGCCCGTCCCGCAAAATGGTACGAGATCCAGGGCGGGAGCGCGGGCGACCAGCGGGCTGCTGGCGGGCAGGCGTCTGGGCTGGCGAGAGGGCTGAGCTCACCTCTCAAAGTGGTGTTGAGTGCCGGTGTTGGTTTGGGGGTGCACACTTCGGCGGCTGTAGCAAAAAGAATTTTACGCAGAGAATGAAGATATTCTATTTATTTATTTATTTACGATTCACGCGACAGGCGAGGCGCGGGCGATGGCTTCCTCAGAAGAAAAAGAAGTCGACCTTCCCACCACACTAGGCACGGGACTGGCTCGTGCAGGTGTGGACCCTGTCCTCCTCCCCTATCCCTCGAGGCTGCCTAATTTCTTTCTTTCTTTCTTACGGGACCGCCGTGGCGGGCAGACGGTGAACGAGCTAGCGTGCGGGGAGAGCGGCATTGTGCACGGAGCTAAGTGCATTGCCGTTCTTAACGGAGTCGCTTAGGCGGCTCCAGTGGTGTGCCTGTGATAGTGCTAGCACGCGCCAGTTCGCACCTGTGTCGAGCCTGTCTGCTGTGAGCGAGAGTTGTTTTGTTTAAATTCTTACGGGACTGGCGCGCACTGGCACTAACACAGGTACACCACGGGAGCCAGGGGCAGTATGTGGGCGAGCTTCAAGCACGCTCAAAATCTCGATCGACAAGGCGGAAGGCGTCGCCACGCGCGGTCTAGGGTCTTCCGCGGGGGGAGCGTCGTCGACGCTCGGGTAAGGGACCGCGGCGCAGCCAGTGCCGCGGGGCGATGCCTCAGGCTGTTTGCGGCGAGGAGAGCTGGAGAGGGCCGCAGAGGTTGTATTCGAGTGGAAGGCTGAGGTGGGAGGTCAGGTAGGGGTCTGGGCGGCCGTGTGCAGTCCTGGATGGTTTGACAGTTGCTCAGTGCATGACTTGCCCACAGAGGGGGGGGGGGGGGGTTGGGGGCTCGAGGAGACAATATGGTTATACGCGCGGCCACACGTGTAGGCGCGTATCTTAGCTAAAACGAGCGCCTGCACGAGTAGACGCTCATATCCGAGCTCGCCAAATGCGCATCTGCACGTGGAGGCGCTCATGTTAGCTAGGGGCTGAAAAAGAAAGAAAGAAAGAAAACAGACAACCCAAGGGAGGGAGGGACCTGGGAGGACGGCACGCCGCCACCACACAGGGATTTTAAGGAGAGGGGTGTGGTGCGCTAGCCGTCGCCCACCCTTGGGCGTCCGCCTCTTCCTATCTCTCTTCGCATTGTCTCTCCGATTCTCGCTGCCCCCTCGGAGGGCCGGACTGAGGCGTCGAGGGCCCCGCTCTTTCCTTCGCATAGCGGCCACTCTTCGGATCGCTGGTCGAGCGACCCGGGGGATGCCCCGCGCGCCTGACCCAGGCGCGAAAACGAATCTGCGAGGCGTGGCCGCTCACGCGGCCCGATGGGGAGGAACGGGGCGAGCCCCCCTCCAACCCACCCGCGCTAGGTCTCGGGCGGCGAAGGGGTCACACCCGACGACCTCGGGAACTAGCCGGGGCAGTCGGAGAAGGGGCAACTCCGTGCACTGACGGTCGGCCGTCAGAAAACACGCCTCCGTGGCTCGGGTTACACCAATCCTGCTCGCTACCCAACGCGGCCAAAGGATATCCACCTCGAGAACCTCGAGAACCTGTGTGTCTCGCGCCTTGCGGGGGGGGAGCGGAAAGGAGGAACCTCTTCCCAAGAGCACCACTCTTGGAGCGCCGCCACTACCACCCAGAGCGCTGCAAGCAGCGCCGGGCAATGACGGCTTACCGCCCACCCAGCCCCCCCTCGGCACACCCCGGCAGCCAATGTGTGACGGCTCGAACCCGCTAAGCCATCCCGCAAGCGGGATAGCCCGCCACTCGAACCCGCAAGCGGGCGTACGAACCGCGAGCGGCTCGCACTCGTGACACGCAGGCGTCCGCCAGACGGCGCCGGGGCTAGGCGACCGAAGAGGAACTACTCGAGTACGGCAAGAACCGCACAACCTCGCTGCAACCTTCGTGCCACGTGGTTTGCGGCACTTTCCGCGGCATGGAGAGCACCTCCTCCTCCTCCGACCGGCCGCGCGAGCCGGTTCGAGCCTTCTCCAGGGTGCCCTCGACCCTCGCTCTGCTGGGAAATACCTGGCACGCGCCTGAAAGATCGCCGGCCGTTCCCGGGCTGGGCCGCCGGTCCTTCTCGCTGATCGAGATGCACATGCGCCAGGGCTCCGCGCCGCGCCTGCGGGAGTTTACGCCGGCGCCAGTTTTCCACAAACACGACTCGGTCCTCGGCGCGCACGCGGTGGTGCGAGACCTCGAGGCGATGGGAGGCCTCATCTCCTCGTCGCACTCGCTGTCGAGGCTGCCGTCGGCGCCTCCCCGCTCGTCGTCATCTGAACCGCCGCCGCAGCCTCGCGAAGCCGCGGCCGTCGAGGGTCCCAAGCAGGAGGCGCCACCGGCGGAGGCGTTTTGCACGCGGCCGCACGCCATCGGCGCCGCGTCGGGTCTCCTCCTGTTTGGCTGGCTGCAGTTTGTCGAGCTCTCTGCCGAGCAGCCGCTCGCCAACGAGATGCTCGCCGTTGTCGCCCTCGTCGCCGTCTTTTGGATGTTTGAGGTCCTCCCGCTGCCCGTCACGTCGCTGCTGCCGATGCTCCTCATCCCTGCGTTTGGGATCCTGGACCACAGCCTGGTCGCGTCCGCCTACTGGGGCCCGGTGCAGATGATGTTTGTGGGCGCCTTCATCGTCGACGTCGGCATCGAGCACGTGATGCTGCAC